ACCACACAATTTTATCCTCAGAAGAGGTGTATGTTTAAGTAACATTTAATTACTGAAACTGAAATAGATATATTGGAGTATAAACTATTAGGGTAATGAGAAATTTTACATAGATAGATGATAGATATAGAAAGGTAGGTAGATTGATAAACAGACAGATAGATGACAGATAGAAAGAACTACTGTGCTTTCCTATTCCTACGGTCAGGCTTTTTTCCTTTCCAAATATTGATAGTTCACACGGTCTTGAAGAAGGAACATAGGATTTACACGGTTAAATAATTGTTTAAAAAAATTTCCAATATTGTGTACTAGCTAGAGGTAAATCAGAGACCTGAACAGATTTGTAACTGATGATTAATATTTTAGTACCATAAAATCATGTTAAATGATGAAATTATAAAAATATCTTGGTTGATGACCTTCTAACTGCACAGGGTTCACTTCTCTAAGACATGATCTAAGGACATGGCAGGAAAGTTTGGTGTTCATTTTATAAAAGTAAAAAGAAGCAGAAACATTTCTTGACTATTCAGAAAAGTTCTTGGTAAATCCAAATACCATTTAGAGTAATGCTGGTAAGTGCGTGTTATAACCATCGCCACTCATTTTAGTGGAATTCACCCTGAATCTGTTTACCACTCAGAGATACCAACTGACTTATATATTCTTGTTTCTATAAACTAAATATCTAAAATTATTAACTCTTACAGCTGAAACATAAAGAATCATCAAGATTTTAACATCTAAATCCCTTATATTACTAGTAAATTCACAGTTGAATGTGACTAAGTCACTAATGTTGGCAACATTCCCTCCTGACTTGGAGATATGGCTTGGTGAATAGACAAGTGTCATGTTTGCCAAGAATATGAATTCTTTTCCCAGCAACCACTTGCCACTCCATGTTCAAGGCATCACAAACCTTCTTCTGGCCTCCATGGGTACCTGAGTTTATCACACACACACACACTCTCTCTCTCTCTCTCTCTCTCACACACACACACACACACACAGACACACACACACACACATCTTTAGAAAAATCCTCTTTTTTAATATCAACCCACACCAAGCTTTTCTCCTTGTTACCCTCTTTGTTTCCTTTCTCCCCCCTGCATCCTTAATTTTTATACACTGTTTTCTATTTTGTTAGTTTTTGTTTTTTCACTGAAGTACATCACTAACTAAATGTAAGATCTGTCTTTCTTTGCTATAAAAAAGACAGGAGTAAGTTTTAACAGCCCTGATTAATATGCGCTTTGCTGATTTTTCACGACTCTATATATTTGAAGTTTACTTTATTATGCATTTACTTGTATGTGGATGCTTATACTGCATATATGCATATGGGAAATGTGAAAATAAATAATCCTCATAACTTCATAATCTCATTATTATGAGATATTGAAAGTGGCCCACTCCAGTCAAACTGCGAAAAGTAGAGTCTAGTTAAGAGATATTTATTATTACTCAACAAACATTTATCAAATGTCTAACACAGTTTAGAAAATGCATAGAAGATCTAATGCTGAAAGATTTGTCTTTATTACAATAATCGTTGTTAATATAAAGACATTGTACAATATATATTAACAGGTAGATTTTATGTAATGTGCCCTTTAGTACCGAAATGTGTGGGATGAGATTGAACTAGTATATCAGTGACTGCATAATCCAATTCAGAAGCATTAACGACTATGAAGAGTCAAGCAGTGACAGGTGAGGGCATCTTTTACCCATGGATTTTATGAGACTACAAATTGTCTTAAATGGGAGCTTCAAAGGTTTTTATTTAGCTACAGTACAGAGGAATTGTGTTTACGACATTGAAATAATGACCTCTTGGGGACACTGGTTTCCACTATGGGTGCTCTGAGTGATGCTGGTCTATCTGTCATCTTTTAGCTTCTTCCTCTAGTGTTTCACACATGGAGTTCATGCATCTGTCCTGTCATGGAAGAAGCATTCCTTTTAGCTTCTTAGGTTTTCTGGAATGGAATTTCTCATAAATGTCCTTTTCTTAAATCTCTAATAATTTGTAACTCAGCTCTCCCATGTTTAGTCTGCACGCTTGAGTAAAGACTACGTGACATTCTACCACGAGGGGAAAACTATGACAAGCTGAGACACAAAACCCATGTGAACAGTGGTGGTGCTGGCTCTGGGTTGCAGAGTGCTGGGGAGATGGGAAGGGAGGTACCAGGAAGTAATGAACCCAGAAGGCTGAAATGAAACCCAGAAGACTGTGTCTCTCAAGACACAGAGCTAGAGGGGATTGTTTATCTAGTGCTATGTCAAATGTGCTTTCTGCCACCATTGATATGGAGATGACGAACATGAAAGAAATATACCACAGGAAGAATGAGGACTGCTAACATATTTAGGATGAGGAGTTCTAGACTAGGGAGCAGTGCTAACAAAGACACAGTGCTTCAATGCATTCTGCTTGACTGAGGGACCACAAGTTATTAAACTATGATTTACTCTCTATGGTCTGAAGTTTACCATAGGAAAGAGTTTGGGAGTCCAGAGGTAATAGAAGTGTCAGTGTTTTCCACGATCTATTTTCTTTTATTGCTCTGGTATGTTCTTTAGTGAACCCTCATTTCTCAAGGGAAATCTATTTGGCTTAAGTTGAATGAACCCTACAGAACCTGAGGACAGAACTGTGAAGAAGACGGGGCTAACTAAACTGCCCATTCCCCTGCTGTAAGGATGGCTGTGAGCAGGTCAGGAATTTAGAATCTTCTCCGGAGACTTCTGTTAGAATAAGCCAAGAAGATTTTCATTTGTCCCTGCTGCTATGATGGGGGATGCGAATTGGAAAGCTGAGACTTTTCTTTACTCTGTAGAGAGGCCCATGAGAATATGGATGGCATCTCTGAACACAGAGTAAAGGCCAAGTATACTTTGTTACATTTTCGTGGACTTTTGATGGCTTAACCTTTATTAAGAAAATACTTGAGCAAAGCATAGGGATTGAAGAGTTAACTACCTCAGAATCTAGTAAAGATATGAGTGCAATTGCTTACTTTTCTTGGGGCCTTAACAAGTTCCACGGGTCCAACAAGTATTGTTGTCACATGTTCTAAAATGCCAACAGTTCAAAGTACATGATTGGTAAAGTAACTTTACCAAATGACACAAAACCAAGAATTTACTTTTCTATGAAGAATTATGGGCATAGTCTTCCATCACATAAGAAAAATGGTGCACATATGAGTGTGAGCACAGATGAACTCCCAACATGAGAGATTATATCCACAAGTGTAAGTATCTCATCAATATGTTCAGTGATAATTTACATAGTGGAAATGGTTGCTCACAACATTAAATAAAGGAATGTCTAAAGCAGACTGTAAACTCCCCTGAGAAAATGAAAGCGCCTCACCTCTGAAATGACAAGACCAAATACAATGTATGCTCTTAATGAATTGACAGTTCTTTTCTATAGTTGTATATGATAGAGGCAGTTTTCACATTTATTATTCTGTGTATTGTACATCATTGATTTTATCTCATTGACTTTACAACGGATACTTCTTCCAGCCTTGATTCAGAGATTAAAACGCTGGTTAACTTGCTTGAAATTGTACCCAGTAGCAACAAACCACCAAAATTAATCACTTACTTCACATGAAAAAGTAACTAGAAACCATGTTATCCACAAAAAAAAAAAAAAAAAAAAAAAAACATCATTTTTTTCTGTGGTTGGTGAATGTCCCCAAGTTCAAATCCCTTAATCCTTTTTGAAGACACCACACTTACACTCAATGATATTTCTAATCCTATCTATTAAATATTGCTAAGATAATTTTGTCAATCCAGCAAAATACAAAAACTAGTGAGTTGGTTTGAAGAAATCCAATCGTGTATTCACATCCACTTGGAAACTCAGAATAAGAAGTGATTTAGAACGAGGATTTTTACACATGCAGTCACAACAAAACAATGTCATAACACGGTAGAGCGGGGACTAACGTGCAATAAGGACTTTCTATGGGAAGGAGATGGTCTATAATGACCCCGGACACAGCAGCACCCCCATGAACACTCAGGCAGGAACTGGAGTGGTATTCCTCTGTCAGAGAGTGGTGCTATCCCCAGGCAACAGATACTTGGAGGAAGCAGGGAGGGATAATGTCCCAAACCTTCAGGCAGACCTGAGTACACTGATTTTATCTGTGACTCGTGGCCTGCAGTTCTTTGCAGCAGCTAAGTTCTGCCGTGCTCAGCTGCTTTGTTACTGGTACTTTCCCCAATAGCCCTAGGGATATATGTGGATGATTCATAGTATGCTTTAACTACTGGGCACAAAGTTATGCATAATAATGGGCTGGTCGAAAGTCATCCCGAGAAAGGAAAGTCACCGGGAATAAAGTTAGAACATGGTGAGGAAATATTACTAAAATATCCCAAGAGCATCTTGGGCTCAGAGTGTGTGTGATACAAACCTTACCCCTATTCATCTACAGGCAGGGTGGGAATCCATTAGGAATAGTAACCTGAGGCACCCCATTACATTATGAAATACCGTATCACCTCCACAACACCGTGTTCACTGAGGCAAGGAGATGGAATGATTACCTCAGAGAGATTTGCAGCCACGCATTTACAGAGCTGAACTGAAATGGGGTTTCTTTTTAATTTACTGGAGTTTTCTCTACAATACTGTTGGTTGGCATCTAGTTCTCTTGTTCACTTTATGCCTAAGCTCCTTTTAAGAAACCTAACACATATCATTTCTTATCATTTTAGGACAGAAACATCACAGGGTGACCTTTAACAGGGGCTTCTCTGCATGTAGAGGACAACACATTTAATCCCAGATTTAATATTCAAACCTAAAGGTAGTTTCCAATTATCTTGAAAAATACAAATCAATGAAGTGAAATCCCTTCTATTTCCTAAGCTGTGAGGTAGTAACTCTTAGCATCCCTTTTCTTCATTGTGGTGTTACTGGAGCTCAACTCAGCATTAAAGTTCCCCAAACTTCCGGTAAATTCATATGTGTATTTTTTTGTAATATTTGATTAATGTACAGTTTTCATGTAACATGAAAATTACCTCATTCTGTAAGTCACGGATCATTTTGCTTTTCCTTTCCACTTCAGTCTTCAGAAAATTAATCTGAAAACAAATAGAATATCATGGATACACATTCTCAATATATTTTCCTGGTTTTTTTTCTTTGTATCATTTTGAGGTACACTGAAATTATTACACCTTCATTGTAAATAAAGGATTAAAGTATTCATTAACTAAAACCGTAATTTCCTTGATCTTTGTTTAATTAGTTCATTATATTTATTATTATGAGGAGAGTGTTCATTACATTAAAATTTGGGTAAGTTTTCAAAAGCATAATTTTATAATAGTGAGATGTATACTTTTTTATTTAATACAAATTAGTCTACATTTATCTCTAATTAATTATGTGACTAATCAAATTTGGAGCACTGATAATAAAAAAAATAATAATAAAGGTGGTAAAGATCAAGGTAATTGGTATAGCTCCAAACACAGTGAATTAAATAATTTGGGTTCTTTTGAAGACAAGTACAGGCCATCATTCAGCTTACCATCAACATCCATGCTTTCATGGTGGTTTCCATTATCACCATATCCCAGTATGCATGAGAAATCCACATCCCAGTAAAAGTTACCCCAGATTTTGACTCCAAAATATGGCAGCCTCTTTTGTCTTCTCTATGGTGTTTCAGATAAGAGTCAGCTGCTCTGTCTTTTCTATGGTGTTTCAGAGTCAGCTGCTCTGTAGCTCAGGTGAGTAGAAGATGCTAGTGAGCACCATTTAGGACCGCAAAAGTCAAATGATGTGCTCAGATGATTAGCACGAAGAGAGCAGCAGCTTACACGGATGGGATGAGGCCAGCATCTGAGTCATATAGGTAGAGAGGTATAAGGATGATTCCAGATGGATTTTTCAATGTCTTCAAGAGCTGCTACAGCCATGCTGTTTCCTAGAAGACCTATGGCATCTGACTCCTGATCTTCTTTGCTTTCGATAAAGGACTACTGGAGCCTTATATTGCCTGTAAGTGCCCTGTCCTTAAGAGAATCCATGAATATAACAGCTTCATCTGTTACTGAAAACTCAAGCAAAACCATTTGATAGTGATGGCATATATAAAACAGGCGATGCTTGAGAACTATCTGGTCTGTTGTTTGGTCATTGGTTCTCAATGTACATTTGAACTACAGGAATGCTTATGTCAAGGAAATGTCACTAATCACACTCACTGTCCCGTTAGATAGAGAATTCAAGACCATTGGTAAACAAAAATAATTACCTGGAAGGGCATGCCGCATTTAACATTTATATGTCTTCAAGACCAGACAATGCCTTCTGGTGGGCATATTTCATAGCTAGCTCTATACTTAAGTATTTCGTTGGCAACAAAGAATTTATAATGAAACAGTTGAAACAATCTTAGTTTTATACACAACCTTCACTGATGCCCTTCCTTCATTTATTGATACTATTCAGTCTGTTTGCATTGCTAAAATTCACATTTATTAGGAATACATGGAAATATATTCAGTATCAGGCCTGCAATTCTTTAAATACTCCACACAGCCATAAAATCTTGAGAATATGAAACTCAAATATATTCAGAATATTTAAAAAATATTAGCATTTTGAGATGACTGGCTTAGAATCCCAGCAGGATTTAACATCCCTGGAGAAATAAGCTTTCCAAGTATTTACTTAAATATGTTTTTTTTTTCTTCCAGAGGAAAAAATACCAAGTATTTGCTGTGAGCAAAACATGGAAAAACAGTGCTTTTTAAGGCTTGATGAGAATAAAAATTTTATGGAAAGTCTTGCTTTAGAATTATGTCTCATCCAGGACAAGTTAAGCCATAAAAGATAACAGGAGTCATGAAATGCATCCAAACAACATTAATACCTTTAATTATCATGGTCACACCTGCTCTTTTGTTATCCCTGCTGTCTGCCAGGCTTTGGCAGGGCAAACCCAAAGCTGAATGATTTCCCAGTGCAACATACGCAGAGATAGAAACAAATCTTCCGGTCTTCATGAAAAGTATGTTGAAACATGATTATATCAAGGGGGATCTACTGCTCAAATAACACAAAATTTCAGAAATGTATTTTCTTTCACATTTTATAGCTTAATAAACAAGTTATTATGTTTCATAGAATTGTATTTTGGACCAGGAAAAAAAATCTTCACTCACTGTAACAGTTTTTTTTGGGAGAAATGTACAAGCTTTCTTTTGAATAAAATGTTACAATTCAAAATTTAATCAAGGTTGCCATAAAAGTGTATTTTCCCTTTAAATATCAAATGGTAAACTATATTTGTAGACTCAAATCCAATTCACCATCATAATGAAGGCAAGGGAATTATACAAACCTCCCTTAGCCACAACTTTAACTACTACAGAAATAGGAGGCAAAATAATTAGTGAATGATTTGCGAGAGTAGAGATGTCCACCATACAGATGCATTCAAAGTTTAGCAGAGAATATTTATATAGAATAAAAAATACCTAGTTGTTCTTTTTGAGGTTTGTAAAACTGCTCCTTCCATGTTTTCACAAATGTTAGCACTTTACTCATTTAAAAGATGACGATGTTGCATTGTGTGTTTGTCTCGAATCCTTGGTACTGGCCTGTTGCTGAACACCAGGATGGCTAGCATGGGCTTCTTTGACAGAGCTCTGGGGAACATGGACGTGAGGAAAGCATTTTGGCCTAAAGATGTTATTTCCTTAGCATGCTTTCTGGGATGGTTAATATTCATTTTCAGCTTGATTAGATTTAGATAACCCAGGGGAAACACCTGTAAGATTATCTGTAAGGGAGTTTCTAGAGAGATTTTATTGAGAAGACCTAACCTGAAGGTGAGTTGCACCACCCCCCCCAAGAACTGAATGATTTAAGAAGAAATAAAACACAAATGGCCAAGAAGTTCTTAAATAAATGTTCAACTACTTAGTCATCAGGGAAGTGAAATTCAAAATAACCTTGAGATTTTTACCTTACACCAGTCAGAAGGTCCAAGATCAATGAAACAAATGAAGCTCATGATGGCAAGGTGTGGTGTAAGGGGCATGCATTGCTGCTGGGAGTGGAAACTTGTACACACATTATGGAAATTGGTGCGGAGCTTCCTTGGGAAGATGGACATTGATCTACCTCAAGGCTGAACTATACCACTCTTGGGAATAAACACAAGGGGTTCTACTTCCTACTACAGAGACACTTGATCAACCATGTTCATTTCTGCTCTATTCATAACAGCCAGAAATTAGAAATAGCCTAGATGTCAATCAGTGGAAGAATTGAAAAGGAAAATGTGGTACATTTATACAACAGAATACTACTCAGTTGTTAAAAAAAAAAATGAATCATGAAATTCTCGGGTAAGTAGATAGAGTTGGGGAAAAATATCACCTTGAGTGATGCAATCCAGACCCTAAATGACAATATGGAATATACTCACTTATATGTGGATGTTAGCTATTAAGTCTATAAACAAGCTATAATCCATGTAACTACAGAAGTTAGGTATAGTGTTAGGAGTTGGTGTGTCAGGGGAGAGGGAAGGGTTGGATTAACTAAGGAAGGGCATATAGAGTAAACAGTTGTGTATGGATGTGGGGGGGGGTAGGCCACTGGAACTATAGGTAGGAAGAGGAAGGTCAGTGAGAGATGGAATACGGTGAGGACCAGCAAAATCTAAGGACAGTTTGAAGGGCCATGTGGAATCCTAACACAGCAGAAGAAGTCCTAAAACACATATGAAGGTGATCTAAATGGAATGACCAAATAAATGGGAGATGGTAGCCCAACTGAAAATGGTAACATCTAATCTAATTCATGGTCAAAGGGGCCCCTTGGGAACTCCCAAACAACCCAAGTTATTGCCAAGACTATTGGTTGCTCTCCACAAACTGATGGTTAGGACTATTGCTGAAGACAACACCTACACAAATCACTGAACATGGAGAAGTCAAACTGATGCCTACATAAAGCCTTCATCCCTACTGACGAGTGTTCATGGTACTCGAAGGTACTCTTCTAATTTTATTTTATTTTATTTTTTTTTATTTTTCTGAATGCCTCTTTGTATCCCAATCAGAGAGAGAGAAAGAAAGGGAACAGATTTGGGTAGACAGGGAAGTGGGAAAGATCTGAGATTGGTTTGGGGAGGAGAAACCATAATCAGAATATATTGTATTAAAAATAACTGTTTTCAATGGAAACAAAAAGAAGCCAGGGTGACAAAGCTGAGGTGTCTCTGTGCTCCCTGAGGGCTGCACACTGTGGCCAGGTTGATCGTGGTCTCCTTGTCCTATCTTGAGCGTCTCTTCTTACCTCTAAGTGCCATAGAGGGTGCACTCCAGTGACTGCTAACGGAACCCCCTTCTTTCCTTACAGTGCCCTTTATCAGATACGTTGAAACATCAACAAGAAAAGCAACTAACACACATTCTCAGTGTCAGGACTGGTGCGTCACACATACTAACTAGTCTTAAAGGAACTCTGCTCCACAAGGCTTACCATTGTCTCAACTGATTTACGTTCCCAGGAAGTATCACAAAGAAGCGAGCAGTCATCTGGAGATTCAAGGTCTTTGTTTAAGCTCTTTATTCCACTTCATTGGTCTATGCATCTAAATGTATATCAATATCATACTGTTTTGACAGGATAACAATGGAGACTAGTCTACACTAAAATATAATGCTTGTGTATGTGTGTTTGTGTTTGATTGTTGCTTTTTTATTTTATTGAAAATATTTTCTTCATACAATATTTTCTGATATGGTTTACCCTCTGGTAGAATTTGTTGAAGGAGTCAGAGGACCACGAGAAGGTTTTGTTTTTGTTTTTAATCTAAGGAATTTTTTTTCTCTATCATTTTTGTGAATTTTTTTTCCTTGGTAGATCCTTGAAGATTATCATAGACATTTTGATAGAGATCTCGTTGAGTGTGCAGTTCTCACTGGGCAGTATAAAAGTTTCAACAATGTGCAGCCTTTTCTCCATGGCCATGGGAGGCATTTCTATTGTGTGTGTTTGTATGTGTGTGTGTGCTTGCTCATGTTATTTAACCAGTTATTATAATTTTTATGAC